GCTCCGTCTGCCGGCGCGTGCGCCTCCCAGCTCCGTCTGCCGGCGCGTGCGCCTCCCAGCTCCGTCTGCCGGCGCGTGCGCCTCCCAGCTCCGTCTCTAGTTGGATTTATTTTTAATGGGGACTTACACTGTAGTATAATCTTGAATAGAACTAACTCTCTTTGTAGACCAGAGTTGCCTCAAAACCCTTGGTTAGTCATCCTACTACAGCTTGCCAAGTGCTGGATTGCAGGAGTGAGCTATCACACTCAACTTCAGTTATTTATTCCTCTTCACATATAGTTACCAAATGGACACTGTTGTATTTTCCCATAATTCTACGGAAGAACATGATACCTCCTGGCTATAACTTATATTTGTGTAATTTTTGATGAAGGTTGTTGACACTGAATTTTCAATTAGTTGCAGTTCTTTGAGTTGAGAAAGCCCTTTCTGAATTTTATCACAATATTTTACTTTAATCCCTGATTTATTTTTGTACCTTCATTATGTCATTTCATTGTCAGGGAGGTTAATTTCTCCTGTTGTTTTTTTAACACAGTTCCCCTCTGTAACCCTCACTTGGCATTTTACAGAGATGTTCCTGCCTCGGCCTCTGAGTGCTGTGACTCCAGACAGTGCCACCATTCCAAGCTCTTTAATTTTTATTAATGCAGGGTTAGTATTGTGTCAAGTGTCTTGTAATTGCCAGGCAAGCCTTCAGCTACTATGTTCCCAGCTTTTCAGCAATGACTTTTAACCAACCCATTAGTTTTCATTAAGATTTCTCATAACTGTAAACTTCCCTGCAGCCTGATAGTTATACATAATTTTGCTTTCAGCACTATTACAGTATATGCGGTTATTCTTCTGTATCTGCATGTTTTATATCAACTCAGTGACTGCACACTGAAAACATTTGGAATTAATGCATCTGAACTAGGATTCTTCCTTGTCATTATTACCTAAGTGATGTGGCATATCAACTCTGTATACAACTTTTACATTTTGGCGGGTTTTAACAATTTAAAGATGGCTTAAAGAATATGCAAAGATATGTATAGATTATACACAATTACTAAACAATTTTAAGTAATGCCCTTGTTTGTACATCTACAGATTTTATACCCAGGGATGTAGGAGGTGCTTGAACCAAACACCCAGTAATGCCTGAGGATAGATAGCTATTTATCTTTTCCTAGTCAATCTGAATTCTATTTTTGTTAATTATATGAATTTCTAATATTTATGTGGAGATCTAATTCCATCCATATTATTAAGTATACCACTGTAACTAATTTAAATAGAAAAGAAGTGGATCAGAATATAAAATTGTTAATATGTCTAGGATAGAAGTATATTTAACTAATGAAGTTTTGATATAAGTTTTTTTGATCATGGTTATGTTTTTCAGCTTATCAGTTCCTCCGCCCCCCCCAAACAGGTGTGATTTTGACATTAATTGACTTAATTTACAAATGACTGCAAACTGACATTTATAGTAAATTGGGAGTCACAGTAGTCTTTATAATAGTGAAGATTTTAGTTTAGAAAAATAATGTGGAATTATATATAAGGCTTTCTATATTTTATAGAGAAGGAAATCCTTCCACATTGTGAGTACTTATCATGGGGCCTTTATCTAGGTTTTCAATTCTGTTATGTTTTCAAAAGTGATTAATGTTTTGTATTACAAACTTTAAATATTCACATCGCATTACTGAACTTGTTAGTTTTAGTTATTGTTTGTTGACATCCATTTCTTTTCCAGGACAGCTATTCTGTAATACTCAATTCTGACTTTTCTTCTTCAATTATGCATATCTTTTTTGTCTGTGTGCCCATATAATTTCTCAGGTCACGAGTGAGCTAATGATGAAAACTAGCTCCCCAAGTCTAGCACTATAGCTGAGTTGGTGAGCTAAAATTTTGTTGACTTCGTAATTATTAGACAGCCAGAAGCTGGAAGTGAAAGATAAAATGGTCTAAGAAAATGTCATGAGTTCTATAATTTGATAAGGGCATAGAAAGCATATTTTTCTCTAAAGATAAATAAAATACTAAACTCCATGGTACAGAGATGTGCATTCTAATGTAATAATATTTACTATGGTGGAAAAACCTAGTAGAGAGGAAGTGAGACTCCAGGAAGCATGAGATCAAAACATGGAGAGCAGTGGGAGGACTGGTCAAAAGAAGGCACTCAGGTCCAGAGCTTCCACGACATGCTAGTGAGAAGTGAAGCCCAGGAGGTTCTTGCTGTGTCTGCCCCTGTGTGGACACTCTGTCTGTCTGTACTCTTGGTTTACTCCAAAGGAGAAAATTGCAGTTATTCCAGTAAGGCATTTAAAGTTTCCCCTGGAGTAGGGAGACCATAGACACGTTGCCTTCATTATTTACCTTCATCCATTCTTCTTTATTTTTTTATTAATATATATTTTAAAAAACTTTTAACTTCCAGGCTTTAAGATTTTGAGGGGAGACTTGCAGAACCTTTTTAGACGTGATTTAGATGGTTAATAAATTTTGAATTGAATTGACAGCTTTTATTCTAGATATTGATTGTGCTTTGTAATAGATATATTCCTTCTTTCAAATGCTCTTCAGTGTCCTGAGTGACTTGATAACTACTTTAGTTCCTTTGCAAATAGGCACATTTATTATGGCTCTGTCTGAGGGTCTCACATAGTCTTTTGAATGCCTTCAATTTGAAAAAGACTGTCAATGTCTTATTTGTTTTACAGCCTTTGAGCAATATGTTAATAGCAATTTCTTAGAAAGACCCAATGAAAATTTAATTTAAATCTATATACAAGTAAAATGACAGATGAGAGCAGTTTAGAATGGAAATCAATTTTGGAAAGTCTGTGATTAAGATTTAATTATAGCATCAATACACTATACCCCTGGGGCTAGTATAGTCCATACTGTAGGATAGGTTCAGTTTTGGGATTTGGCAAGATAGCTCCAATGTATTTTCCTCTAGTTTGACCAGAACACAGAGCGTTACACTAGTTACTACATTCTGAATAAAAAGTTTGATGAATATTACCAGTCACATGAAGCAGTCTGTGGCTACTGATTTCTCTTAATGCGTAGAGATTGACAAAGTGACTCATACATTTTTAACTTATAAGTTATTTTTATTTGAATTTAGTTATCTCTTTCTAAACATTTTGATTAAATTTAAATATCAAATGATTGTTAGGAGAAATGCATCGGGTAATGGGGAATACCTTACTAGGTAAGAGAACCTGCTGAGCAGGCATAACAACCTGAGTTTAAACCCCAGAAATCATATAAAAATCCAGGTATGGCTTATAGGCTGCCAACAAACCAAGCTCCAGTCTCAGTGGCTAAGGAGAGTGATGCAGCAGAATATTCCCTGTCATCCTCTGGATTCTCTGTGGACATCACAGATAGACATACCCAAAATATACACCACACTCCTAACACACACATACACTTATGTGAACACACACACAAAATTAACAGAAATAAAGAAGAAATGCATCTTAGTAGTTTTTCATTGGGATATGTAGTTTAGGATATTAAGTGGCATCTCTTCTGTATTATCATTTACTCTTGACCTTTTGCTACAGGTGTTCAACACATACTCCAATGAAGACTACGACAGAAGAAATGATGAAGTTGACCCTGTGGCTGCCTCTGCTGAGTATGAGCTTGAGAAGCGAGTGGAAAAGCTGGAACTTTTCCCCGTGGAACTGGAGAAAGGTATGTAGTAAGGAGGGTGCTAGTTTTTCCAAAATTATCACACAGAAAGTGTATTAATTAAATCACGGCTTGGACCCATTATCTCTAGCTTCTTATTGGCTAGCTCTTACACATTAACCCATTTCTGTTAATCAATGTATTGCCACATACATGTGGCTTACTGGCAAGATTTCAACTGGTGTCTGTCCCTGGTGGCTCCATGGCTTCTCTCTGACCCGGCTCTTCTTTATCCCAGAATTCACTTTAGTTTTACCTGCCTAAGTAAGTTTTGCTCTGCTATAGGTCCAAAGCAGTTTCTTTATTCACTAATGGTAATCACAGCATACAGAGGGAAATTCCACATTACCTGCCCTTTTCTGTTTAAATAAAAAGGGAGGTTTTAATTTTAACATATAACAAAACAGTTATCAAATAAGAATTCAAGTTACAATATTTATGTCTACTTTATCTTTTATCATAACTAAGGGTAACTATAACTATTAATTCTTCAATTCCATCAAAGAATCCAGGACCTTCCAAAACTCTAGAATTGAAAGACATCTTGCTGCCTGGACAGTCACCCAAAGTTGTTCTGTACTGTTGGGGCATCCATGATCAGCCTATAGGCTCATAGTATCTAGCATACTTTTCCATGACGCAACAAATTTCAAAGGCAGTTATGCCTATATTGGCAGTTTATCATTCACATTTTTCTGTGTCCTGCAGAATGTCTAGCAGACTCTTTCATGATGCAAGAACCCTGAAAGATCGTCTCACCTTTAGGCAAGTTCAGCAGTCATTTCTCTGTGGGTCCTGCATGCCCAGTTCATCAAACAGTCCAGGCAAGAGAAGTTTCTTGTCCAAATAGCTAACAAACTCCTTAAAGAGCGTCTTCAAAGCCCATCTTCCTCTCGAAGTAATTAGTGCTTCCAGGAGCAGATGTATCTCACTGTCATGAAAAGTCCTATGTTCTTAAAACATTGTAAATGTCATATTCTGAAGGTCTCTGAAAGATTTGAAGAATACCTATTTAACTGAAATATATCTCTATATATCTAGAAAACCTAACTAACATGACTACAAGTTTGACTGTTATAGATGACTATCTATTAACCTCTATTTCTTAGTTATACATTACACTTTCAAATTAGCTGGACAAACACAATACCTTAGTCAAGAGCAAAAACAAAACTAACCTTAAATTTGTATCAATAAACCCAGATCCATACCAATGCAAATCTGTGTATAGCATATCCCCTTTAAAATGTAAACAAACATTTATAGACAATATTTGGGAATATGGGTATAGTTCTCCAAACTTCTTTCTCCTGTTTATTGGGTGAAATATTTTTGGGGGTGTATTCACAGCAACATTTCAGGGGGTCTTGGTGCATCAAACCATATTAGTCTGGAAGCAATCCACAGGTTTTCATCCTCTGTGAAAACAAAATAAGCACCTCTTTTTCCAAAGCAACATATCCTTAGACGCAAATTCTGAAGTCAAGATACTTTTGTAACATACATGCTGGTTTAGCTTAGCAGCCCCTATAATAAATGTCTCTCTGTACGTAGCTCCTTCAAGTTAAAATTCAAAGAAAACATAATAATATATATAGTCCAGACTGTCTGTGAATTTTCCATCTTTATGTGGCTTATTCTTTCTTTACTCCTTTTTAATCTATGACTGTCTGTACTCTGTCTCTTTAAAGATTTTACTTTAAAAAAAAACCATTTACTTGTTTTTATAACTGTCTATTTTCTTTTTCTTCTCTCTCCCAAGCCTATGTACATTTATCCAACACTGTGACCCATTAGAGGTCTTTTCCATCTGAATTTGTCTTTATTGCATATCTATAATTCTTTACTGATCAGTAGTACTTCTTAAAATGCTAAGTACTTCTTAAAAACTTAAGCTGCAGCATTACTAGGATATACAGCGCTGCCTGCTTGCTCAGAACAGTCCAACATGGTGGAAGTCCGTTAGTGCCTGAGACTGCCTGGTGGGAGTCATCCTTACCACCTTGACTTTGATAACAAGTTGTCCCCTGCTGCCACCATTGCACTTAAACAATTTGGAACCATCTTGAGGAGCTAGTACCCAAAACAGGTCTTATAGTAGTGCTAGCAGTATCATGATGTCATATCAACCAGGAGGAGTTGTTGTTGAAGCATACAGAGGGCAATCCCATATCAAAGGTAGAACAGGATTCTGGTGTTTTCATCTTCCTGTCTCTGAGAGTGACTTAGAATGGCTATTCCAGAATGGAGCTTGTTAATAAGAATTGAATAAAGTTTGTATCTCTCCTCAAAGTTTGCCAAGTTTCGAAAAGGGCTGATGCAGATTCTAAGTAGATAATTTGTTAAAGGATTCCATTATGTTACCAGCTTCCAAACAACCCCACTCCTTTGTCTGCCATGGATGGTGATTCAAATGGGAGGTATGCCAGCTAGTTTTATGTCCACTTGACACAAATTGGGTCACTGGTTAAGAAAATGCCTCAATAAGATGGCCCATAAGCGGGCTTATAAAACATTAATTAATAAGAAAGTGGGAGGGCCTATTCCATTGTGGGTAATGCGATCTCTAGACCGATGGTCTTGGGTTCCATAAGAAAGCAGGCTGAGCAAGCCATAGGAAGCAAGTCAGTCAGCAAGCAGCTATCCTACATGGCCTCTGCATCACCTCCTGCCTCCAGGGTTGTGCCCTGTCCTGATACCTTTAATGATGAACTGTGATGAAGAAGTATAAGGCAAATAAACCCTTTTCTCTCAATGTGGTTTTGGTTGTGGTGCTTTATTGTAGTAATAATAACCCAAACTAAGACAAATTGGTACCAGGATCATGGGATATTGCTATGAAATACCTGGCCATTTATTTTTGGGAGGATTGTGGAAGGACTTTGGAATTTTAGATTGGAAAAGCAAGAGTAATCCAGACCAAGATGATGATGATGATAATGAGTGTATGTCCCACTGTTTTGTTGGTATTACCGGGAGGGCTGATGAGGTAAGTCTCCATCAAGAGCTGGTCTTGAGGAATGTTTTTCTAGTTTCCTGGTTTGCAGTAGAGGCGGTATGCATGCAGAGTAGATCAGAATGTGGTGGTGGAATGGGCTCTCTCTCTGGAAGCTTAGGAAGATTTGGAGTGAAGAAGGTGAGATTCAAAAAGCTTCAAATAGGAAAACTCCAATCGAAGACTAAAAAAGAAAAAGAGAAGAGGGAGCAGATGATAGTCCTGAGTTTCTCCCTTGGAATGACAGTCTGCATACCACAGAAAGCACTGATACATGGAACTGAGATGGCCACTGAGGACCTGCACTGTGCCCTGTGGACAGATCTGAGAAGCCTTCAGAAAGGGCAGAGCAACCAAATGACTGGAGAATTAAAAAAAAAAAAGAAAGAAAGAAAGACTCAAGGATAGTAAATAGTTGCTTCAAAAAGATATTCTTAAGCACATTATCAACAATAAATTCGTTGATTTTTCAATTGAAAAGTTTGACTTCAGAAGTTGAGGTGACAAGCATAGCTAATGTTGAGATTCACATTGGAGACCTAGGAAATCCAATATAAGAAATGTCCGCAAACCTATTTCAAATAATAGCAAACACCTAAGAAAACCAAGAATGCTACATAAACTGTGACAACAGAAGAGAAAAATGGAACAATAGAGAAGATATATAATTTGTAACAGAAGAGCATTCTCTTGAGAAAAGAAAAGAAAATGCCAAGTGGATCCCCAGTAAAGTGGAGGAAATCCTAATGGATAAAGCTAAATTAACGATCTTACAGAAGACCAGTTTTAAAAAATAGTAAGAAAAAGAGTAAAGGTCTTTGAAATGACTGGAGTTGGGTCCTTCCAGCCTGAAAGCTGCCAAGTATTGTACTGTCATCGTCCACGGAGAGTGGTGTGCTTCTCGTGGGGAAAGAAAAGGTTTCCCTAATATCTAAAGCTGTAAAGAATACAAGTTATCCTAGAAATTTTCTTACTGTCAATCAAGGAAGCAAAGACACAGCCAACTTGTTCAAGACAGTAAAGATGAAGAAATATTAAACATAAGACTGAAGATACAGTGTTGACTACCGAGCATTTCACTGGACCTGATTCCAGTGGAAGGACACTTTCATTGGAGTTACAATGAAATGGAGACTGATTCCTTCATTTTTTTTTTTTTTTTTTTGCTATGTTGAAAAAGAATCTTTGTGTCTCATTGCTGGTAAGAGCCAAACATGACAACAACTTAAGCATTCACCTGAGGCATGACAATGTTTCTAGTCAGTAACACTGAAGTGCAGTCATGCAGCAGCATGTGTGATTGTTACGTAAACAGGAAGTCAGAGAAGTCTTTCAGCTATGATTCCACTGACTTGAATTCAGCTGAGAGAAAAGTGAGTATCATATTACATCATCATATTACATAAGGATATACAGGTGATTAAGGTGTTTTTTTATTGGTTAGTGTTTTTGAGGTAATTATGGATAAAATAATTAGTTTCACTATCACCAAGAGTAAGGAGTGTTGGAAGGGGTATAATAGGTAGCTTTATGATGTGGCTATCTTCTCTGTATTTGTTAGGGCCAACACTTTTGTTTCATTTTTCTTGTTGTCGCCCAGGTTGCCCTTGAATTCTATGATAGCCCCGGCTGGTCTCCAACTTGTGATCCTCCTGCTTCAGCATACCAAATGCTAGTATCATAAACCTCATCCAGTTTGTCTGAGTTTTCTGGTTTGTATTTGGAGTTTGAGTAGTGGTTTCACTGTGTATCCCAGTCTGGCCTGGAATTCCTTGTTCTCTTCTCAGTCCCCAAGTGTTTGGATTACATGTTTTTTATCACTAGACATATTTACTTTCTTCTTTAACATGCCTCACAGATAAAGAGTGAAATAAACTATATTGTTTGTATGTATTTCACTCTAAAATTTAAAGTAGAAAACTATACAAAATAACTAAAGAAATAGAATTATTCAAAACTTCACTGCATTTCTTTCTCAAGTAGATCTAACAGACAGAAAACAAACGAA